GGGGGTCTCAACTGGTCATTCAACCACATCGTTTTGGGGCACTTTTTTAAAGCATACATTTGTTATTCACACGTCATTTTTCTGTTCTAATTCTGTTCTCCATGCTGAAAATTAACGATGGAGGCAAGGCAAGAACATGCATTTTTGTGAAACATTGTGATACCAAACCAATGTGCCAGGATCTGGACAATAAAGATATATAAAGATGTATCTTACAAACGATCAGTAGATGAATCGGATGTTGGAGCGGGGAGCGCAGCACGTAATTCAATGCCCGGAGTGCTGTGATGTTGTTCCCAGGATCAAGTAATCAAATAATCTTACATGAAATTTGTATTTCTAATTTGTGTTTGTAATGTGCCTCGACATTGCCATTGGTCTGCTGGTTGGGCATACGAGTCCGCTATATTCTTAAATCGTTAAAGCTTCTAATTCGTTTGGTATTCACGACAGAGCCTTATAAAAGAGGAAAAGAGGCCTACTTTCTCATGTAATAGAAATAAACAGTTTATGTACCCCAATATCCATAGTCCTCTTACTGTATTTAGAAATAGTGCTGACTTATGTAAATCCCTATACAAAGACACAAACATATGCGCGCACCTACTCACACACACACACACACACACACACACACACACACACACACACACACACACACACACACACACACACATACACATACAAACATCTTGTCTTATGCCTTTCTTCACGCTTTTGCTTTGTTGACTGTTGACTCTCCTTGAAGTAATAATTATTCCATGGGCTGGAGAGAAATTTACATACCATTTACATAATATGAAGGTCTTATTCAGACCCACAGCATCGTGTTCTGTTTATTCCTATCCTTCTTGGCGTTTGTTGGTCTATTTTGTTAGGCTACCATCTTCATAATCTTCGTCTGGACAATCACTAAAGAAAGTGAAAATAAAATAGAAGCAACAGAAAAGTGTTTTCTTAGAAGACTGCTAAGAGTATCGTGGAAGGAAAAGAAATCAAATGAGGTAGTGCTTGATGAAGCCCACGTAAGACGCTCACTGTTTAAAAAAAACAAAAAAACATCAGGAAATGACTAATGCAGTTTTTAGGACACCTGAAAAGACATAAGCGTCTTCAACATCTAGCTCTCAGTGGCAAAATTGAAGGCAAAAGAGGCAGGGGTACGCCCAGAGCAACCTACTTAGGGAACCTAAACAAATGGGTAACGGGGAAAGATCATGGAAACGCAGCTTTTTTTTTAGAGCATCCGAGCGAAGGAATGAATGGAGAACCATGATCGCCGATGCCTGTGGCAGACCTGGCACTGGATGATGATGGACATCTTCATCTTGCTAAACGTCTAAAATTAAAAATGGTTAACAACTTGAACTGTTTGGGGAGGCTAGGTAGGAATAAAGAAAGGGGTGGGGGGCAAGGAATAAAGA